TGACTCAAGTCTAACTAAATTTCAAAAGCAGATTGATGAGCAAGCGGCCATGATTCTGCATCTTCAGGCTGCTTCCACCGAGAGGTAAAGAAAGCTCGAGGAGTCAATAGGAAGGCATGAGGCAAGGATCCCTGACCTTGAGATTTCTGAAGAGAGAAATAAAAAGGAAATCAAACTGTTGAAGGAAAGCCACGACGGCACAGGTCAACAATTTAGTATGCTGAGAAGGGATGTAAACTCCCTAGAGCAGTACAACACAGGAGTAACTCTCTTAGATTTGTTGGTATCCCCGAGGTTGAAGGGGTGCCCTCAGATGAACTTATAACACCTCCCTCGGCGTTCACCTTCAGAAGGGGGACATAGACCACGTCTAACGGGTGAATTCCTCAGTCAAGACAAATGGACCAAGTCTGAGCACAATGATCGTCAAGTTCCTGTCGTTCAGGAAGAGGAACGAGGTCCTCGGGAATCGACGCAAGCTCGCGGGTACGAGAAAATCCATCCAGGAGGACCTCACCCGCGATAATGCCAAGCTCCTCAAGATGACCCGTGACCATCAACGGGTGAAAACTGCTTGGACACGGGATGGTCGAGTCATCGCCTTGTTGCCAGCAACTGATGTCAAAGAAATTAAGAAAACCATCTTTTCTGAAGCGGACTTGGCCAGGCTCTAAAATTCAACCTTTGTCTAATAACTTGATAGCTCTTGCCACATGATACTTAAAACGTCTCTTTTTATTTACTACACTATTGGTACAATCTTTTTCATATGAATTGTCTTTTAACTTATCTGCGCAATGTATCCTGTGCGCAATTATGTATATGTTTTCCATTCTGTTCTTTTTGTCTTCCTTTCCCTGTTTATACCTTCCTTTTTCCTCTCCAATTTGCTGTCTCATATTCTATATGTCTCAAGTGTTTATTTTTCTAGTTGTATTTAAGTTAGCTAGCCGTTTCCTTATGTCTATGTTATCAGTAATCGTGTTTATCTTGTCACCTATCTTGACCGATCATGGCTCAAATAGTTGACCAAAATATTTGCAATTTTCTTGAGCTAGCTTGAGTGATATCAGTGACAGCATTGAAAATATTTCTTTAAGATGTAATTATTCTACAGAACAAAAGTTCTTTGAGTCAGTTAAAAATGCCACAGACAAAGAGCTTTCCCTTCTTCGTTTTAATATCCGCAGCATGAGTAGAAATTTTGAACATGTGACATCATTTGTGAACAAAATCAGCTCAGGCTTAACTGCCATTGGTGTCACTGAAACTTGGTTCACCAATGAAAATAATGCAAGTTCGTTTGTTATTCCAGGTTATAACTGGTTAAGCAATAGTAGAGTAGGCAGAAGTGGTGGTGGTGTTGCCCTTTATGTTCCGTCTGGGCTCGATTATCGAGTATGTCACGAACTTAATGTCATGACTGAAAATCTAGAAGCTTTATTTGTTGAAGTGTTTATTTCTGGTAAAAATAATATCGTGATTGGAGTCGTGTACAGACCTCCCAATGGTATTTTGAACATTTTTTTGGACGAAATGCAGAGAGCTTTGGAAAGCCAGTCACTTAATGGTAAATCCCTATTTTTGGTTGGAGATTATAATATAAATCTTTTACAGCACAATGTTGATGCTCATGTTGATGATTTCCTGAATGTGTTGTTGTCGTTTTCTTTGTTGCTCTTGATAACAAAACCAACAAGAGTAACTGAATCCTCTGCTACTCTAATTGACAATATCTTTAGTAACTTGCAACCTTTTCCTTTATCTATTATTGTTGTGTCAGACTTGTTTGACCATTTTCCTGTGTTTACTACAATTCCTTTGGGGAAAAACCCCGTAGTCACCGAAAGGAATATTTATGTTAGAATGAACACCACAGAAAATATAAATCAGTTTAGAGGTGCATTATTGGCGACAAAATGAAGTGATGTTCTTTTGAATCAGTGTGATGAGAGTGCCTTCGATATTTTCATGAATAGGTTTTTATCGTTGTATGATGCTAATATTCCAGTAGTAAAGAGTAAAAACAACCGTAGAAAAACCCCACGTTTGCCGTGGGTCACCAATGCTATGCTGAAATCAATAAATAAGAAAAATGAGCTGTTTTATAAGTATGGGAAAGCAGGGACGGAAGCTCTAAAAAGGAAATATACCGTTTACAGAAATACTCTGACTTCTCAACTGCGTGCAGCCAAAAAACAATACTGTTTTGCACAGTTTCAAGCAACTTACAATAATATCAAGGGCACGTGGAAGGTGATAAGAAATGTATTTCAAAAAACATCTAAAGTAACAAGTATAATACAAATTAATATAGATGACCAAATGGTTGAAGATAAAAATATTATAGTGGAAAAGTTTAATGAATATTTTTGTAATATTGGTCCGAATCTGAAAAAAAATATTCCAAACAGTCAAACTGATTTTCATGATTACTTAGAACATAACATGGAAAGTTTATTTCTGGTGCCCACAAATGACGAAGAATTGCTTGGTATTGTTAGAGCCCTCAAGAACAAGAAAAGTCCTGGGTATGATCATATTGGGAACGAACTTATTAAGCAAGTTATTGTCGGTATCCTTCAACCACTAGTTCATATTTTTCAATTTGTCTATGTCAAGTGGAGTTGTACCGATAAACATGAAGATCGCAAAAGTTGTACCAATTTTTTAAAAAGGTGACTCTCAATTACTGACAAATTATTGTCCAATTTCTTTGTTAACGTGTTTTTCAAAAATTCCGGAAAAAATTATTTATGTAAGAACTATAACATTTTTAAACAAAACACGTGTCTTCAGTAATTATCAGTTTGGTTTTCGGGAGAAGCATACAACAACACATGCAATTTTACACCTTATAGATAAACTTGCTTCTACCTTAGATAGTCGCTTACACATCATCGGTACATTTTTAGACTTTTCCAAGGCCTTTGATACTTTAATACAATTGAAAGAGTAACTTCAACAAAATTTCTTGGGATATACATAGATGAGAACTGAATTGGAAAACACATGTGGCCAAATTAAGTAAAGTGGTGTAAAAAAATACTGGTGTTATTTATAAGTTGAGATCATGTATACCTCAAGAAGTATTGTTCATTTTGTACTCTACTCTTATTTTATCATATATTAATTATGGTATGTTGGCATGGGGCAAATCATCCCAAACTCAAATCCACAGGCTTTTTTGTTGTGCAGAAGCGGGTTATTAGAATAATTTGTAAAGCGAATTATCGTGCACATACAAATCTACTTTTTTTTATTTTTATGAAAACGGTATTCTAAAACTAGAAGATCTCTATTCAATGCGACTTGGAATGCTCATGTTTAGCATTCACTCTGGGGACCTCCCTCCTGCCCTTGTTCAAATCTTTAGATTTGACGTCCCCCCACCCCCACCACGTGCCCATCATGCCTACGTGCCTGGTTACTGCCCGTGGAAATTCAACAGATTGTTTATTAATGGAATGTTTATTACCGAGGTCACTTGGTAGTCGTACAATTTAGTAATAAAACAATGTACAAAATTCCAAATCCATATTGCACTGGCATGGAAGGTTAAGTTTTTCACATGTGACCGAAACCTTATTTACCTAACATTTAAGAAGAAGTAATACAAATATGCTGTTTCGTCGTCCGTCGTTTCATATAATTACGAAGGCGAGTAAATTATGTAGGCCTAAATAATGTATAGGAATATGAGTTTCATGCATGTGTAAGCTTGGGTTATCACAGTTTTATGCAAATTTACTAGCCGATTCGCCACGTGTCCGCCTTTCTATACGTGATATATTGATTTTTTGTTGTTGTCCGATTACGTTAAAACTTTCAACAGTCTGCTTCTATGTTTGTTCTGCTTCCGTTTTAGAATTGTTTGCTATTAAAGTTGGGTTTCAATTTAAACAAGCCTTACATATAATGTTGAGTTCCGCTCATGCGATTACATTTTGACAGAAACATGGAAGCAATTGGTGAAAGGGAAGTATGTAGTACGTAAGAATTGATGTATACTGTAGGGTCTTGAACTGAATAATCGAAATGATGAGGATGAGACTCGATCCTGTTGAAGATCTTACTCTTAAAATCCCGGGGGGGGGGGGGGGATTCTCAGATTTGGTTTGGAAGGGGGTATGCCGCTCAAGCCTCGCAACCCCTACCCATTATTCGGGGTCATCTTGGGGCATTATTCGGGTGTTTTTCGGGTGTTCGCATGGCATGGCAAACACCCGAACATTTTGGAAATTTTGGAAATTTTGCAAAAACGGAACCATTTTTAATTTAAAAAAAAAATTAAAAGTGGGACCCATGTTTATGGATTTGTTGTGAAAAAGTGACGTGATAGAGCGGCACACCACCGTATGTCCTAATATGTGAGTAGCCCCCCCCCCCCCGGGCATAAAATACTTACTGGGTATAAAACTGCAACTCCCATTTGCGGATGCAGTCACCTGTGTTAAGCAAATGGTGTCGGGCATACTTACACGGACTTCCGTATTTCCGATTTACGTATTTGTAATTTTGAACATTCAGTGTAAGTTTCGTTTGATTATGTGAGAATTCATGTTCTATATTTTACCGGAACTCAACTTTATCTTTAAAGGCATCGTTTAACAATGTTTAATCTAAAATGCAAGGCCCTATACGTGTTATCAGTGTCTATGATATGGTGTAATATTAAAGCCCTAACAAAAATCGCGCTTCAAAATGATCATGAAGTGCCTCAAAAAAGTAAAACTCTTTGAGTGACCGGTCTTACCTTACTCGTTTTTCCCAATAGACTGTAGTGTTATGAAAACCGTTAGGAAAATGCGAAATTTGATTTCGATTTACAATAATAAATATCTTGATAATCAGACAGGCGATCGGCTTGTAAAAGTCATGGGGTTCCTGACTGACCTAAAAGTTTATAATTATCATTGCAGCATGAGCTAAATCCAGAATTTTGTTTCAGAATCTGAGAAAAAGTTACCCTTTAAAGGGTAAAGTAAAATGTGACTTACCTAGTTCTGTATTCGATTGCATATAAAGATATACATTCTGGAACCATGGGCCCTGATGAAACCACGTGACGGTCACCATTGTTGTACATAAAATGAAGATATAAAAGGATCTCCTCGAATTTATTCTCGCCAAACAGTACATGACCGTGGAGGCTTCGCGACAGCTTAATGAGATTTATCGATGGGCGTGTTCACTGGTGAGAAGAATGAAATATAAAAGAAGATAACTGTTTGACAAGTGATCATAAATAACATGTGTGCCATGCGTCCCATATATAACTCATAAATTGCATTTCCTATCGAAATTTTAATAATTGTATTTACTATTTTGCATGATTTTTGTGTTCCAATTAATATCTCTCATCATTGATTGAAAGTATGTTGTTATTTGAAATTTCAATGTTTATCCAAATAGCTCTTTTCTCCCTCTTTTATTATTTGAAGCTTTAATTCGTGTTTCCTTTTCGTTTCCTGCTTGATTTATTGTGCACTGCTATTCTTACTTTGTATATTATTATGCGAATTACTGTTGTTCATCTAACCATTTTTTAAAAATGTATTTGAATTTTAATGTAAAATTTTAAATCATCAAAACTCAATTTGTTTTCGGCCTGTTGCTGTTATTTCTATTGTACGCTTCTTAATCAATGAACAAGTTCAAATCAAATCAAATCAAAACATCCTAATAGAAAACGAAACCATGAAACAAGCGGTAATAGAGAGCTGTTTCAAAATAAGTTCCTCATATAGTAGAAGTAATATCCTAAAGCCTGCTAAAGCCAGTGTATTGACAATGGAGCACAATGAATAAGTGGCAATATGCCAGACACGTTGCTGTTATTTCTATTGTACGCTTCTTAATCAATGAACAACTTCAAATCAAATCAAATCAAATCAAAATATCCTAACAGAAAACGAAACCATGAAACAAGCGGTAATTGAGAGCTGTATCAAAATAAGTTCCTCATATAGTAGAAGTAATATCCTAAAGCCTGCTGAAGCCAGTGTATTCGCAATGGAGCACAATGAGTGGCAATGTGTCAGACACGAGTGCTATAGAAGACTCCACTACTACTCATTATTATTAACCCGTGCATGCTTTACCGAGAAACACTTATTCACAAAAGCATGATTTTGCTAGCATAATGAAACGTAAAGGATGGCGTAAGGGAAATGTAAGCTTCAAGAGATGATTATGCAAGAATCTTATTAGGTGATGATGTGCATTTGAATAACTATTTAAATAATGCAAATGATATAAATCCAGATTATCATTAGTAGTAGTAATATGGGATAAACATTGAGTCGCGTATCCATACATTGGCTTCGGAATATATGAGCATACAGTAATGTATATTGTTCAGTACCACAGGGTGCCCCCTGCTGACCACGGTGGTTGAATTTTGTTTTCTAAGTCGAAATTCCTGCCCCCCCTATGCCCCAAGCGCACTCATGTTCAAAAGTGCATTGCGTACATATGTCCGTTCTAGCGTGCTAAACCATTGTCCATGCTTCTCTCTGTTTTTGTGTGGACATATCTGTCCAGAAGGTGTAAAGAAAAAGGAATGAAACAGTGAACATTAAGTAAAGTAAAGCTAATATCGCAATTTATAACATTTGAAGGCACTTTCCATACCAAAAGGAAATCACGAGTCGTAAATAACCCACCAATTTTAATGACTTCCAGTTTGCTGGGTAAGACATATCTTTTAAATTGACGGTTTATTGTATCGTTTTCTCCATTCACAGAGCTGCGTAACCGCTGAGTATGGGATTACCGCTAAGAGTGTTTATTTCATGATTTCGCTTCCACCTGCTTAGCTTGTAAATGTAATACAGAAACACCAATGTCGTGTATGCTGCCATTCGCAAAGTGTGCAATTTACCCAAACCTACACCGTTCAGCACAGCATTCACAACATGGGCTTTATAAATTATGTGTGTGTGCGTGTGTGCGTGCGGGTGTGTGTGTTATGGACATGACGTACAGGGTTCTGCCAGGCTGGTTTACGACGTATTTGAGCATAAATTCTTAAATGAACAGTCATATCGGGCATTATTTATCATTCTATATATTATTTAGACTTTACACCTTAAAGTTAATACAAAGTTTTGGGAAATATTAAAAATTGGCTGGAGAGTGATTCTTTACAACTTTGATATATTTGGATGCCCCTGTGGATGTATTATAAGTACTAGAAAATGTAGTCCCTATTAAAACAATTCTGCTTTAGAGAAAAAAATGAATATCAAATAGCGCCTACAGCCATACAATGGTAGCTGCCACCATGAAAATCTCAAAATATGCAGTTATGATACATGTATATAACTTCCAAACGGAAATAGCCATTCGATCGAGTTTAGTCAAGAAACATTGTTTTAATCACTGAAGAGGTTTACGGTACACCATGTGTAAAGTCCTCGAGGGACTGAGGAAAGTGGATAGAAAATAGAAGTGAGATGGAAAGGCGAGAAAGTGGAGGTTGGAAGGAAGAGTATCTTTCGGAAGTGAGTATAGTCCTGAAAAGGACTGTAAACCAGAAAGTTGTAGGAGGGATGAGAGGTTTGAGTAGAAGACTGGATTGAGTTGGAGAGTTGAGTAGGCGAGTAGAGTTGCAGAGCAGGAGCAGGAGAGTAGACTCGACGTTTCGGACAGGTTGACTGTCCGTCTTCAGGAGTGAGTGTTCGCTAGGCGTGCGGCGGTTCTTATGGCGTGGATGCGGACTTGGGGGAAAGCACTGGGCCGGCGGGCTCGGCAGGTTGGCAGGCAGCTGTCGGTGGTGGCGCGCGGTTGTGTGAATTGGCGGGAAACGAGTGGGCGGCGGCTATGCGGACGTCGTGTGGTGGGTGTCGGCGGGGTAGCGGGGGGGTTGTGTCGGTCGTTGAGTGGGTGTATCGATCGGCGGTGAGGATGGCTATTAGTGGTGTCGGTCTGTGTGTGTTGGTCGGCGGTTTCGGCGTTGGCGTAGGTTGTAGCGAGGTGTGGGCGTGGGCGGTGCTTGTGTGGGTGAAGTGGCTAGTTGAGAACGTGTGGTGCTTGATTGAGTGGGTGTGGTTGGGTGGTTGTAGGTGGTGTCCGGGCTAACGGATGGATGGATTGGTGAAGTGTTGGTGGTTAGCGTGTTGGTTGTGGAGTTGGTTGAAGATTGGTCGGAAGTAGGATGGTGAGGGAGGATTGGGTGCCAGATACTGTTGATGTGAAGGCCTGGGTCTTGGGGTACGGTGTTGTGTTGGTGGATCTCGATGGCTTCTCGGACTCTTCGGGTGTGCCAATGTCGGATGGGGGTGATGAGGTGACTTTTATCCCAGTGAATGTGGTGGAGCTCTTGTTGTGCGTGCTTGACGATGGCTGACTTGTCCCAGTCGCTGCGTCGGTGGTGGGTCTTGTGTTCTTTTAGTCGGGTGTCGAAATCGCGGCCGGTTTCTCCAATGTAGACTTTGCCGCAATCGCAGGGAATCTTGTAGACGCCTGGTTGTTTGTTGGATGGGTGCTTGTCCTTGTGAGAGTGAAGAGTGGAGTAAAGCTTGTGGTTGGATTGGTGTCTGACGAGGATGTTGGCTGAGCGGAGGATGCGTTGTAGTCGGTGTGATGTCTTGCCGATGTAGGGAAGTGCGATGGTGGCGGTGGGCTTAGTATCAGGTTGGGTTCCGGTGGTGCTGGTCTTGTGGTAGGGAGCTCGGGTGTTGATTTTCCTTCTTGGGTACTGGTTGATGGAAGTAAGTGCGTGCGTGATGTGCTTGAGTTCTTGCTGGAGATGTGCTTTATCACTAAGTTGGTGGGCTCGTCTGATGAGTGAGTTGGAGACTGATTGGTGGACTGATGGATGGTGGTGAGATCGGAAGTTGAGGTAGCGGTCTGTGTGGGTTGGTTTCCGGTATACTTGGTGCGAGGGGAATCCTGATGGTGTCTTAGTGATGAGTACGTCTAGGAAAGGGATTGAGTTGTCGTGTTCGGTCTCCATGGTGAACTTAATGCTGGGGTGTTGGTTGTTGATGTGGTCGAGGAAATGGTGGAGGTCTGGTGTGCTGTGTGGCCAGATGACGAAGGTGTCGTCGACGTAGCGTAGCCAGAGTGAAGGAGACTTGTCGGCGGACTTGAGTGCTTGGTGCTCGAGGTGTTCCATGAAGATGTTGGCGATGATTGGTGAGAGTGGAGATCCCATGGCTGCTCCTTGAAGTTGTTTATAGAAGTTGCTGCGCCACTTGAAAGAGTTGGAGTGGAGGCAGGTGAGAAGGAGGTCGTGGATCTGGTCAGGTGTGAGCTTGGTCCTAGATTCGAGGTCTGGGTCTGAGATGAGGCGTTGTTTGATGATGTCGCATGCTTGGTCTACAGGAACGTTGGTAAATAGAGAGGTGACATCGAAGCTGACGAGTGTGTCGGATGGCTGGATCTTGGTTTTGGAGAGGATGTCGATGAAGTGCTTAGAGTTCGTGACGTGGTGCTGGGATTGGCCTACGAGTGGTTGTAGAATATTGGCGAGATGACGTGCAGTGTTGTAGCAGGATGATCCTCGGGTAGAGATGATAGGGCGGAGAGGGATAAGCGGCTTATGAATCTTGGGCTGTCCGAAGAGGATGGGTGACTTAGCTGACGAGGATCTGAGTTGAAAGTAGAGTGCCTTGGGTAGTATGTCGGATCTGTGTAGGGTTAAAAGTTGTTGGTTGATCTTCCTTTCGTTGGCCGGGGTTGGGTCCCTCTTGAGTTTGGAGTAGGTTTCCTTATCTTTGAGTAGGTCGCAGATCTTATCTTCGTATGTATCTTGGTCCATGACGACGGTGGCGTTTCCCTTGTCTGCTTGTAGGATGTGGATGGATTGGTTCTTGCGGAGGTCTTGAATAGCGGATCTTTCTTCTTTAGATAGGTTGGGTTTGGGTGGCTTAGCTTCGGCGAGAGCGTTGGTAATTTTGAGTCGGATGTCGTTAGCAGCAGCTTTGGAGAGGAAACGGAGCTTGGGTTCTACTTGTTGCACGATGTTGGAGAATGGTATCTTCTTGGGGGCTACGGCGAAGTTGAGTCCTAGGGATAGAACCTTGTGTTCGGCTTGGGAGAGTCTGTGTTGACTGAGGTTGACTACTGTGTCCTTAATTGGTTGAGTCGTTGGAGGGTCGTTGGTGCAGATGCGCTTGCGTGAACGTAATTGGTCGAACTTCCTAATTTGCTTGAGTTTGGTGGACTGAAAGGCGAGTTGGGCGGTGTGGTCGTTGAAGGACTGTACTTTGCTGAGGTCATCAGGATTGAGTTGTTGGTTGATCTTGGACTGAGAAGCAGAGGTAGCGGTGTTGAGATCGTGGAGTTGGTGGCGTGTGTGTACGATGCGTTCTCGGGTAAGGTCAATACCGGCTTGGTGTAGTATGCGCTGGGCTTTGGGGGTGTCAACGGCGGATTTGAGTTGAAGGCCTAGAGGGATGGTGTCGGAGTCGCGGCAGCGTTTGAGGAAGGTTAGGTGGTTGGTGAGCTTGGCTGTCTTAACTAGGTCGCGCTGGAGTTGTCTGACGCTGAGTTGAGTAGGCTCCCCGTAGAGCTGAATCAGATGATGTTTGAAGGTTTGCATGGTGGTATGAATAATCACTGAAGAGGTTTACGGTACACCATGTGTAAAGTCCTCGAGGGACTGAGGAAAGTGGATAGAAAATAGAAGTCAGTCCAAGATCAACCAACAACTCAATCCTGATGACCTCAGCAAAGTACAGTCCTTCAACGACCACACCGCCCAACTCGCCTTTCAGTCCACCAAACTCAAGCAAATTAGGAAGTTCGACCAATTACGTTCACGCAAGCGCATCTGCACCAACGACCCTCCAACGACTCAACCAATTAAGGACACAGTAGTCAACCTCAGTCAACACAGACTCTCCCAAGCCGAACACAAGGTTCTATCCCTAGGACTCAACTTCGCCGTAGCCCCCAAGAAGATACCATTCTCCAACATCGTGCAACAAGTAGAACCCAAGCTCCGTTTCCTCTCCAAAGCTGCTGCTAACGACATCCGACTCAAAATTACCAACGCTCTCGCCGAAGCTAAGCCACCCAAACCCAACCTATCTAAAGAAGAAAGATCCGCTATTCAAGACCTCCGCAAGAACCAATCCATCCACATCCTACAAGCAGACAAGGGAAACGCCACCGTCGTCATGGACCAAGATACATACGAAGATAAGATCTGCGACCTACTCAAAGATAAGGAAACCTACTCCAAACTCAAGAGGGACCCAACCCCGGCCAACGAAAGGAAGATCAACCAACAACTTTTAACCCTACACAGATCCGACATACTACCCAAGGCACTCTACTTTCAACTCAGATCCTCGTCAGCTAAGTCACCCATCCTCTTCGGACAGCCCAAGATTCATAAGCCGCTTATCCCTCTCCGCCCTATCATCTCTACCCGAGGATCATCCTGCTACAACACTGCACGTCATCTCGCCAATATTCTACAACCACTCGTAGGCCAATCCCAGCACCACGTCACGAACTCTAAGCACTTCATCGACATCCTCTCCAAAACCAAGATCCAGCCATCCGACACACTCGTCAGCTTCGATGTCACCTCTCTATTTACCAACGTTCCTGTAGACCAAGCATGCGACATCATCAAACAACGCCTCATCTCAGACCCAGACCTCGAATCTAGGACCAAGCTCACACCTGACCAGATCCACGACCTCCTTCTCACCTGCCTCCACTCCAACTCTTTCAAGTGGCGCAGCAACTTCTATAAACAACTTCAAGGAGCAGCCATGGGATCTCCACTCTCACCAATCATCGCCAACATCTTCATGGAACACCTCGAGCACCAAGCACTCAAGTCCGCCGACAAGTCTCCTTCACTCTGGCTACGCTACGTCAACGACACCTTCGTCATCTGGCCACACAGCACACCAGACCTCCACCATTTCCTCGACCACATCAACAACCAACACCCCAGCATTAAGTTCACCATGGAGACCGAACACGACAACTCAATCCCTTTCCTAGACGTACTCATCACTAAGACACCATCAGGATTCCCCTCGCACCAAGTATACCGGAAACCAACCCACACAGACCGCTACCTCAACTTCCGATCTCACCACCATCCATCAGTCCACCAATCAGTCTCCAACTCACTCATCAGACGAGCCCACCAACTTAGTGATAAAGCACATCTCCAGCAAGAACTCAAGCACATCACGCACGCACTTACTTCCATCAACCAGTACCCAAGAAGGAAAATCAACACCCGAGCTCCCTACCACAAGACCAGCACCACCGGAACCCAACCTGATACTAAGCCCACCGCCACCATCGCACTTCCCTACATCGGCAAGACATCACACCGACTACAACGCATCCTCCGCTCAGCCAACATCCTCGTCAGACACCAATCCAACCACAAGCTTTACTCCACTCTTCACTCTCACAAGGACAAGCACCCATCCAACAAACAACCAGGCGTCTACAAGATTCCCTGCGATTGCGGCAAAGTCTACATTGGAGAAACCGGCCGCGATTTCGACACCCGACTAAAAGAACACAAGACCCACCACCGACGCAGCGACTGGGACAAGTCAGCCATCGTCAAGCACGCACAACAAGAGCTCCACCACATTCACTGGGATAAAAGTCACCTCATCACCCCCATCCGACATTGGCACACCCGAAGAGTCCGAGAAGCCATCGAGATCCACCAACACAACACCGTACCCCAAGACCCAGGCCTTCACATCAACAGTATCTGGCACCCAATCCTCCCTCACCATCCTACTTCCGACCAATCTTCAACCAACTCCACAACCAACACGCTAACCACCAACACTTCACCAATCCATCCATCCGTTAGCCCGGACACCACCTACAACCACCCAACCACACCCACTCAATCAAGCACCACACGTTCTCAACTAGCCACTTCACCCACACAAGCACCGCCCACGCCCACACCTCGCTACAACCTACGCCAACGCCGAAACCGCCGACCAACACACACAGACCGACACCACTAATAGCCATCCTCACCGCCGATCGATACACCCACTCAACGACCGACACAACCCCCCCGCTACCCCGCCGACACCCACCACACGACGTCCGCATAGCCGCCGCCCACTCGTTTCCCGCCAATTCACACAACCGCGCGCCACCACCGACAGCTGCCTGCCAACCTGCCGAGCCCGCCGGCCCAGTGCTTTCCCCCAAGTCCGCATCCACGCCATAAGAACCGCCGCACGCCTAGCGAACACTCACTCCTGAAGACGGACAGTCAACCTGTCCGAAACGTCGAGTCTACTCTCCTGCTCCTGCTCTGCAACTCTACTCGCCTACTCAACTCTCCAACTCAATCCAGTCTTCTACTCAAACCTCTCATCCCTCCTACAACTTTCTGGTTTACAGTCCTTTTCAGGACTATACTCACTTCCGAAAGATACTCTTCCTTCCAACCTCCACTTTCTCGCCTTTCCATCTCACTTCTATTTTCTATCCACTTTCCTCAGTCCCTCGAGGACTTTACACATGGTGTACCGTAAACCTCTTCAGTGATTATTCATACCACCATGCAAACCTTCAAACATTGTTTTATAGCTAAATGAATATCTTGACCTAGAGAGAGACCTTTATAATATCACGAGTTTATTATTTACAATTTCATCACTTTAGACTCGATTTCAACCGCGGCAACGATCACTGATTATTGCAGGATCACATAATATGCTTCCAATATGTTCATTTAAACCAAACTCATGACCCCATACCAAAACTTTATATTACCTTTAAGTTTATCGTACACAAATTAAGAGGGAGGAGAGACGATTGCAACTTTGAAAGAGGGTAAAGGGTGAATTAATGTATGTCTCTGATTTTGTTGGTTTTTTTTTTGTGTTGGGGGGGGGGGGGTCATTATTATGGCGGATTAACAGCCCCAATAGATAATTTAGTCTGCTACAGATATGATAGCCTGCTACCCATTGTGAACACACATTGTAACTGCCACAGCAGGGGGTACTGTTTGGTATGAAATAATTTGCAGTATGTCTTTTATTGTTCAGTCAAGGATGGACAAGAATTAGCCAAACCGCTAACAGGATACATTACGAATATAATGAGATTTGGAATATTATCATTTCATAAACAAGGATATCCCACATCTCATAAATCAGGGTCATTCATAAGTTAACGAGAAAGGGATGTGTTTAATCCATTTCGATACATTTATAGAGGGAGGGCCAAACATTGACAAATGAACGATGAACAACAAAAATATTTACCACTGTACAAGTTACTGCTTTTACTACAATTTATTTTTCTTCATAATAATGAAATCATGAAGAAAAAAATGTAAATATATCCCTCTTTTTCCATATCGTCATGGCTATTGAGACTATGCAGTACATACAGCTGTGTTTTGACCGACATATCACCTGAATGCACACCAAATAATACTTTTCAGTGCTCAATATTGATGTATCTCAAATAAATAAGTTCAATCTGTCATTCAATTTATTTCTTTCTTCTCTTTGTTTCTACTTTGCAAACTCCTTAAAGAAAGGAGTGGAGATCAGTCCACCATAACACAGCAATAATACATGAGCAATAACCCGATTCATTCTGCTCATAAATTATGAGGAAACAATGTTTTCTCTTCCGGTTTGCACAAATCAATCATGACGTGAAAACACAGTTTATTCTTCTTTCGGTTGTTTCTCGCTAAACACAGTTCAAAGTTGTTTCTTCGAATTAAAAATAAGAAGGACAAAAATAAAAAATAAATTAAAAAAAAGGACTTTTCCTTCTGGTATGCCAGTTTTCTTTCTCTCTGATTTCCACGAGAAAATATTTCATGGTTTATGATCTTCGCTTCACGTCTACTTTTATGACCTTAATGTACATGGATAACTTAAGCCACAATATGTCCTTAAAAATAAATTTCGACTATAAAAGGCATATGTTCACCATTAACTTGTCTTTCATTACACAAAATTCATAATGATTACTTTTCATTTGCTATGTGACATGGTATGGAAGCGTTTATTTCTATCTTTGTCATAGTTACAAAAACTTCATAGTAATGTTCATTCCTTATCAGAAAAAAATCTCATCTTTCTGGTCTTTTTTCACATACTTCTATAGTTCTTGTAATCCGGTGTGTTGGCTCAGTCAGTAGACCGTGCGCCTCACAACCGGGAGGTCGTGGGTTCGAACCCCGGCCGCGTCATACCAAAAAGACGGGAGTTGCTGCTACCTTTTTGGGCGTTCAACAATAAGGGATAGAGCAACGTCGATCTGGCGCTGCTCAGTGGCTGCCGGGCTCACGATCAATTGGGCCAAAAGAAATTCCATTTTCGGTTTGACTTAATCAATCTGGAGTTGACTATATATACTTTTTGTTAAGTACAACAATCTTTGAATGGCTACTTTCACATAACTACTAATGAATGAATTCTACCAATAAGAGTTCGTTAATAAACATGTACATCGCTCGCTCTGAGAGTAATCCAGACACAATGGTATTTCCTCTATTTTCGGTTGAACCTTGTACTAAAACCTCTTCCATGAGGGATATATTTATGTTCTTTCACTTTCACTTTTATTATATCAAAATGCTCAAATCCTTATGACAAAATCCCAGAACTTCTATCTTGTATGAAAATATAGATCCGAAAAATTAAACGTAATAAATTCGTAGTTTCTAAGCTTTCTCATCTACTGGTTTCTTTTCAATTTACAAGCGTTTTCAAAGGTGATGTAAAACCTTTTCCCCTTCACTGTGGGGGTGAGCTTGGTATTGACACGGATCCGCGTTGATTTATTTTAATATGCCCTCAATTGGTTTGCATGGTTTTCCAACTCAAATCGTCACTTTTTCAAATCAGAAGCGTAGACCCTCATGTGCGGACCCAGCATTTTCCAAGCTTCTTGATTGATATTTTCCTGGATTTGTTGGTATTCTTTGAGAACTGCATCAGGGTCGAACATGCTCACAAAGTGATGGGATCCGGACCTCTGCTGTTTTTAATTTCTCCTTGAATAGGACGTCGTGGCAGCATGTGGGCGTTCACAAATACGTTATTGCAATAACGATCTTCGCCATTGCTTTGTTTTCGTTCACATTCTTCCCTATACATATTCTCCTTCTTCTTCTTCTTCCGATTATTGTCAGGAAATCCTATTTGTTTTGCACGTAGTGCTTGTTCTCACTAGTTAGGCCCTTTCCTCTCGTCTTTATCCTTTAAAACGTCATTCCATCACGGTCACTACAATCTTCGTTTTCCGAAATCACTCATGCGTAACCGTCCAGGCGCCATTCTGTCTGTTTCTGGTCCGTTTTAAGGCCTTTCCAATTTCTTCCTCCCTATCTTAAATCCTACAGACATCTACAAAATTCCTCTAGATAGCCCAAAAGAAGCTCTTCGGTTTAACACGTAGAATCAATCCAATTTTTTTGTTTGTTGAGAATGTGACATATTAAAGCTTTCATCTAAAGGTATTTAACAAAAGTAAACCAGTCTACCTTTCATTCTTGAGTCACGAGATACACAAAAAAGATCAAATTTACGAGGGGTATGAATAATTTAGTTGTTAACTGTATAAAAATATATACCCACATCAACACACACAAACAAAACAAATACGCAGACGCACAAACTCATATAATTTTTGTTTTAAAGGTATATATAATATATTTCAAAATGTATATATCTACATGAAAATTTCTGCTTCCAAAATATACTGAACAGATGCATCTATGCAAAATTGTGTTTTCCTGAAAGTTTAGTAGCACCATATTTATATATTGTATATCTCTGTCTACATTTTCCTAAACTTGAATCCTTACTTTTTGAAAAGCTGCGGGTTTACTCCAGTATCTCAGATGCTAAAATAAGTAGGTCATTCTGATTAATAGCTTATAAATTACCCGGTGAAGATGGAGGGAGGGGAGGGGAAAGCAACATCGGCACCATAGCAAATGCCCCCGCAATGGCTATATACACGTTACATTGCAGTCTTAGTCGAGTGGTTGAAGCACCTGACTCGAAATGCAAAGGTCGTGGTTCGATCCCTGAATTAGGGACCTGGTAGGATGTCGAAAGCGTGTGTGTTAGTATTTGCCCTCATGGTGACCAAATGGTAGAAATACTCCCCAGGTAGTGGAGATGGTGCACATTGAGTGTGAATGAATCCGATGACCAGGGTTATGACTTATGTAAAGTGCTTAGAGACGATATTCCGTATTAAAGGTAATATACAGTTTTGGGAAATTTTGATATATTTGGATGCCCCTGTGGATGTATTATAAGCACTAGAATATCTAGACCCTAAAACCCTTCTGCTTTCGAGAAAAATTGAATATAAAAATTTACCCGTGCTCCCGTTAAATGTTGATGAATTTCAAATAGCGCCTACGGCCGTACAATGGTAACTGCGACCATGAAAATTCCAGAATATGTAGTTGTGATATATAATTTCAAAACGGGAATACTTAATGGGTCGATTTGAGTCAAGAAATATTGTTTTATAGCTTAATTAATATCTTGACCTTGAGGAGGAGCTATACAACATCAAGAGTTTATTATTTACAATTTCATAACTTAAGACTCGATTCCAACCGCGACAACGATCACTGAATATTGTAGGATTGCATATGTTCATTTAAACCAAATTCATGACCCCATAACAAAACTTTGTATTACCTTTAAGCGCTATACAAATTCAGATTAATATCGTTCAGCACTGCCGGGTACCTGCCCCCCCCCCCCCTAGCTCATTCATGTTAAAAAGTGCAAAGCGTACATCCCGGCGTGCGTTGAATAGCGTGCGAAACTATTGTCCATGTCCATGCTTCTACATGGTCTACTAGCACCAATGTCGACAAAAGGACGGCATGAAATGTATGATAACATATCAACGCCTGTACTTTTAGACATATTATCATGCATATAGGCCTATGGTTTTTGACCTAGACTATCTGCCCATAATTCAAAAGGTGTTAACAAACAAAAAAAGTAAAGAAAAATTGAAAATTAAGTTAATCTACATCGCAATTTATAACAAATGAAGGCACTTTCCATGGCACAAAAAAAAATCATGAGTCGTAACTTACCGATTAATGACTTCTAGTTTGCTTGGTACTTCATGTCTCTTAAACTGACGGTTTATTGTATCGTTTTCTCCATTCACAGAGCTTCGCAACAGTAAAGAATGGGATTACCGCAGAGAGTTTTTATTCAGTAATTTCGCCACCACCTTATCTTGTAAATGTAACACAGAATCACTTACGATGTAAATTTTGCCATTTGTAAAGACAGTAGTGTGCAATTTACCAAGGAAATGAATTTTTGCAGCTCGCATTCGTGCGCCAAAACTACAGGCCTTTCAGCACAGCATTCACAATATGACATGTATACATTCTGTGTGTGTACCTATGAGAGTCTGTGTGTGTGTGTGTGTGTTATGGACTTGCGTATGGGGCACCGCCTTAACTGAACAGTCATAGCTCGCATTTATCTATTTATTATTTATTCGGCACTTAAGAAATATAACAATAAAACAATATAATCATGATAACACTTATATTTTTGATCATTTCATATAATTAAGACTTGCAACTAAGTGTATCGTATAAAAGGAAGAAGGAGGAGATACGATTAAACCTATTAAAATATAAAAGATAAACTATTGTGTGTCTCTAGATGTTTTTCAAAAAATTAACATTCCAAAGTCAGTCCATGTCTGCAATGTCGCCTTCGACACCGTTAATCACACTATCCTTTTGAACACACTTAGTTCACTTGGTGTCAAGGGTGAGGCATACAAATGGTTCAAGTCTTATCTGTCATACCACTCTCAGATCGTTTGTATTAATGGTTGCAAATCAGTTGCTTTGCCTCTCTCTTGTGGAGTACCACAGGGCTCTGTGGGCGGGCCTACTCTCTTCTCAATTCATTTAATTGGATTGCGACAAGTTTTGTTACAAAATGGCATAGATTATCATATTTATGCAGACGATATTCAACTGATGATTTCCTTCAATTCAGATCAAGTCGCTGCAGAACGAGCCGTTCATCGCCTTGAATCTTGCATGGCGTATCAGGACAATTACCCCCTGGGCAATCACCCCCCGGAAAATTACCCCCCGGAAAACTACCCCCCAAGGACAATTACCCCCTGGAAATTTACCCCCCGGAGAATTACCCCCCGAGGACAATTAACCCCAAGGACAATTACCCCCCGGAAAATTACCCCCCGGAGAATTACCCCCGAGGACAACTACCCCCGAGGGCAATTCCCCCCCGAGGACAATTACCCCCCGAGGACAATTACCCCGAGGACAATTACCACCCGAGGACAACTACCCCCGAGGACAATTACCCCCCCCCCCTCGAAACACCATTACCGCGGCCCGAGGACAATCACACCCAGGGAATTTGTAACACTGTGACGTATAATGCGAGCTCCTCTTCAAATTGATATTTAGAGAAAATGTCATGAACTTTCATTTTCTTAGTTATTTATGACGGAATAGATTTGTTTCGTACAGGGGTTGTGTATAAATTATATTTATATTCGTAGCTCACATTCAAAGCCCTCGTACCCATCTGCCAAATCTTTTTGCTTGACGTACATGTATCCTCCTAGGAGGAGATTTCACCCACCCCTCTCGCTCTGTATCCATTCCACCTTTGTGAAGTTTGACTTAATATGCCACGTGTATTGAATCAAATTCAATTGCCAGAAGACGCATGTATCAAATCGAATTTAATTGCCAGAAGACGCATGTATCAAATCAAAGTACGGAATTTACATTTCTTAGAAATTTAACAATAACTTGCGCGCAGATGAGTACGCGTTAATACAGCTAGTCTCCCCCAAAATAGCCCAACAAAGAAATTAGGATGTAAGATATCATTATTTATGCATCCTCTGTAACTTTTCTAATCAGCTGGTCGTATATTTGTCTTTGTATGTATAATGGGCCCTCATCTACGATCTATTTCAAAATTAAGGTTCTCTTCATGTTTATAAATGTAATGTAATATATATATATATATATATATATATATATATTTCTGTTGTCATGGTGAACTAAAATATGTTTTCTTGTACTGTAATTTATTTTGAAATAAAAATTGCCTTCAAGTTAAATATATGGTATTTACGGTGCCATATTAAAAGAAAATAAGTATCCGCACTTTGGTACATTCAACTCAATGATTTTGTAATTCCAGAGCAGCGTTTTTTCAACTGGGGTGCCGCAAGAGAATGTTAGTTACATGACAATTTTTTTTGGCAAACGTTGATTTTGTGAAAAACAAATATCAGAAACGGGTAGAGTATTTATTTTCATGAGAAAATAAAATGTAAACAAATAATAAAATGTCTTTCTTCCTCGCTCGCTGACAATATTTTGCGAATATATATCTTTTATTTCGACATTACATTGTTACCACACTCATCACAATTATAAACATGATGAATCAAGGCAACGAGAGGCCCGAATATCCTCATATTCGTGTATCAAGGTCATGACCGAATATTTCACTTTATATTCGTGTACATTCGGCGGTGAGGCGCCCGCATACCTTAAATCTGTGCTAGTGTGTTGATTACAACATTATGTTTTACCATTTTGAAAATGTCTTGTCCTTGTTTTTCTTGCTCGTTCACTAAATCAAGAAACAAATGTGCCCATACGTGTGTACATAGCACTTGACGAGTGCCAGAGTGATGCAAAATAAATAGTTTGTGAAGAATTTAAGATTGGGCGAAACTTTTCATTTCTTAAGAGGGCATCGTGTCGAACAAAAAGTTGAAATAACGCTGCACAAGAGAAATCCTTCGTAGAAAACAGTAACCACAGTGTTGTTGCATACATTATAGCTAAAGAAAAATGTGTAGTAATGAGGAAGATCACGCACAAGTATTTGAACGAATGTGGGTTCATGCACGGGATTTTATGGGCTCGTAGCCTTCACAGCATCTGTCAACGTGTCAGATCGTCTTTTGCTATTGAATCCTGATTGTCCCCGGGGGGGGGGGGGGGGGGAATTGTCCTCGGGGCGGGTAATTGTCCTCGTGGGGTAATTCCTCAAGGGGTAGTTTTCCGGGGGGTAATTGTCCTTGGGGCTAGTTGTCCTCTGGGGGTAATTCTCCGGGGGGGGGGTAATTTTCCGGGGGGTAATTGTCCTTGGGGGGTAATCGTCCTCGGGGGGTAATTGTCCTCGGGGGTAATTCTCCGGGGGGTAATTCTCCGGGGGGTAATTGTCCTCGGGAGGTAATTCTCCGGGGGGTAATTTTCCGGGGGGTAATTGTCCTTAGGGGGTTATTGTCCTCGGGGGGTAATTCTCCGGGGGGTAATTGTCCTTGGGGGGTAGTTTTCCGGGGGGTAACTTTCCGGGGGGTGATTGCCCAGGGGGTAATTGTCCTAGAACCCTTGCATGGCTGATGCTCATGATTGGATGCTCGCACGTTCCTTGAAATTAAATTTAGACAAATGCAAATTCCTTATATTTGGTTCCAAAGTACAGCTTAGTAAAGTTAATATCAATTGCATTTCATTTTCTGGCCACATAATTCACTTGTCACATTCGTGTCGCAATCTCGGTGTTATGTTTGACTCACATATGACAATGTCTGACCAAGTTTCTAATATTTGCAGATCAGTAATAATTAGTTAATATCGGTTTTATTCGTAAATATTTGTCCAAGTCTGCCACCGAAAAATTAGTACATGCTCTGATTTCCTCCCGTCTTGATTTTGGCAATGCCCTCCTAATCAATCTACCCCAGAATCTACTGTCCAAACTCCAGAAGCTTCAAAACGCTGCAGCTCGTATTGTTTCTCTGACCACCAAGCGTAGTACCACATTTCCAGAGTTTTGCAGTCGCTACACTGGCTCCCAGTAAAAAATCGCATTGTTTTCAAAATTTTGTTGCTTACCTTTCATTGCGTTCACGGCTCTGCTCCTCAATACCTTATCTCTCTAATCCAAAACTACACTCCTGCAAGACCTCTACGCTCATCCACTTCCAATTTTCTTGTGACCCCCAAAATTACCAAAACGTGGGGGAAAAGATCATTTGCACACTCTAGTCCTAAATTATGGAATGGCCTTCCTGAAGACATCAAAAAATGTTTATCTTCTGATTCTTTCAAAACTCATCTCAAAACATTCCTTTTCAAGTCTTGATCGTTTTTCCTGTTTACACGCGCCTTGAGCACTCCACAGAGTGGATTTGGCGCGATATAAGTTACATTATTATTATTATTATTCGTAGGCCCAAGGCCAGTCAGACACAACGCCGGAAAACCGAGCACGAGCAATGAATTAAGAGCCCTCAACGGTCAATGCGAGGCAACTTTTTACGAAAGTAATATTGAAAATCTTGCAAAGTCAGCTTGATATATTTACATGATATATTATACATATATCTCTCCTTATTTAAAAAAAAATGCTGTTGATCAATAATCTTAAAAATCCTTGAATGAATCGTCCCATAATATAACTTTCAAATTACAATTTAAAAATGGATATACCCATATTATATATTTAACAATTGCTTGTCAATGGAAATACGAATGTACGAACTAAATAACCAAAGGAGAGGTACGCACAAAGATGGTGGACTCAAAGATGGTAATAACAAACATGGTGTTAAGCATCTCATAATTGTTATATTATTATCATTATTATCATTACTATTGTCATTACAGTATTAACTGAACACAAATTAGATTATAAAGAAATATGCACGCACAAAAATACAGGAGTAAAAATATAATAGAATGGACTATGTGATTCTCTTCGAAGTTGTTACAAACATAGTTTGACAAAAAATCTTTAAAAAATGTTGGACAAATCATCTTTACAAAAAAAAAAAAAAAATAGATATCATGTTCGTAAATATCATTATCTACACACATTTCATATTTCATATTCATATTTATTTCATTTCCAACAGAAAGGTAATCAAAGATTATTACATTTTATTTCATACATAATTCATTTTTTCAAGAAACTATACAAATAAACTTTGCACATAATACAAATATTACAAGAAATTCTTAATTTCTGAGGAAATGGGGGGGGGGGGGGGATCCACTAAAAAGCAGTGCTTGTAGTTTGTGGATCCCTCAGAATTGTTTACCTAAGGTTGCTTTAAAGGGCAAGTCCACTCCAAAGACAACTTACTTTCAATAAAAACAGAAAAATCAGACAAACCAATCAAAATAAGTTTGATCAAAGTCCGATAACTAATAACAAATTTATGACATTTTAATGACATGAAAAACTTTAAAAATAGCAAGACAAATTGCCAACTCGCTCATGAGTCTGTGACGTCATTGCATCACTA